ATAGGCAAAACTATTAAGTTATCATTAAAACGGCAACACAAATATCAGACTCTTAGAGTCAAAATAGTTTTAAACTCATTTACCCTTTCCCAATTTAACAAGTTCTGGACGATTGACTTGGGAGTAAGGTTGCTTGCTGAAACCTAGGGGTTTAGGCAAGATGGCGTTTCGCCGAAAAGCGAAATTCTGCCGAAACTATATTAAAGTTATATTAAAAANGAAACCTAGGGGTTTAGGCAAGATGGCGTTTCGCCGAAAAGCGAAATTCTGCCGAAACTATATTAAAGTTATATTAAAAAACTGGCGAAACTTTGGAGAAAGGTGAAACTGCCGAAACTTATTATAAATGCCGAAACTGCCGAAACTCTGCCAAAACTATAATAAATCTATAGTAAAATTTTGACGAAACTAATCGTAGGATTTTGAAGAGATTTAGACAAGCAACCTTACCTGGGAGGTATACCTGTGAGATGGTTTCCTGCAAGTTGGACTTTACGAGAAAGAAAACAACGTGAAAAGTTCCAAGCTGTCATTCACGATATTCCGGTTGACATGACGATGGCTACCTTGTGGGCCGACCGTAAACCACAACTATTTTTAACGATGTGCGGTGCATGCGCGTTTAAAATTATACAAACAAGTAAAGGTAAGAGGAAGCTCGTAGGATATTTCGAGAATTGGGAGGCTACACTCAAAGCCTTAGGAACTCCACAAGCTTTCCCCAGAGTTGAAATGGTGTCGACACTCTTTACCTACCTTGAAGAAACCACCATCTAAACAAAAGGCAAAGTACGTTCCTGACAAGAAGCCTGGAAAATCCGTGCAACAGTCTGGTAACGTTAACCTTAAGAAGAAGGACCAGAAATCCTCGACCAGTGCTAAGAAGCAAGCCAAATCTATTAAAGACTCGTTGAAGGATCCCGAATCCCAGAAGTCGAAGTCCAATAAGAAGCCTAGGGATAAAGGAGGTAATAAGGATAACACGGTGGTTTTAGCAGAAATTTTATCCTTACTGCGAAAAATAGTATAGTTATTTCTGTCGGTTGACTGCCGGCGATTCTTACTTTTTTTCTTAATGATTTAGTAGTTATTAGAATAATAGATTTTATTCAGAATAGGCAGAATTAATAATTTTTTTTTTTCGACTGGGAACTCTCGCTAAATTAGTGTTTGAGTGTCTTTTTTTGTTCTATTTGGTTCGTAGCTTGAGTTGCGGCTAAGCCTGCGTTCCTTGTGGAGCGAGGCTAGGCGACCCCTTCGATTCGTTTGAGAGGTTGGGTTTTATTATTAGCTTGGAATAATGGTCTTACTTTGTAGGCTCTTGTTCCTATGTATTGTTGGACCCCAGTACTAGTCTTTATTTTAAAAATAAAAATAAAAATAGAAATCACCTTCAATATATCTATTCGTAGAAAAAATTTCTGGATTCTTTTTAAGTATTTTTCTAAATGGATCATGAATACGAGAGCATCACATTTCTGGTATTTTATGATCATATCTTTTTGTTAAAGTCATATTATATCAATTATTCTTCTATATTTTTCAAAGTTTACATAACTATAGCTTACTTGATTTAGCTACTATCTAAATCTATATCTGATATTAGCGTTTTAGTAGATTATAAGTCCTGTTCATTTCTAGATCGTATCGGATTGAAAAAATGTATAACCAATCAGATCATAGTTACAATTAAGCACAATTTTTATTGATCAGATTGGTTTATATATCCATAATAGCTTATAGGGCAAAAACACGTAGTTGTTATTTATTATGTTTATTATAAAATCGATCAAGGAAAAACACCAATTTTTGTAGATTGGCCTGACTGACCGCTGACCGCATCAGTAACCAATTATTTTGGGGTACAAATTTGCGATCAATCCGATCTGATCTAGAAATGAACAGGGCTATAGTAGATTACAATGATTTTATTGATTTTATAGTGTTTTTAGGAATTTTAAAAACTTATAGCAATTTATAGAAAGTATTACTGGTAGAATGCTGCCAAATCAGTATCCAATCAGATATAAGTCAGTAAGCTGATTTGTGTTATATTGGGTTCTGATTTTTCTTAACCGTGTTCCAATCAGATATCCAGATTGATGACAGATAATGGCATAATAGGGAACATTCAAATATTAATCAGGTATGAAATATAGGTATTTACCAGATATTTTTATTGGTATTTATTTTTATACTGAATTTTATTAATTTTAATAAACAATTCATTGAATTTGCATATTGAATTCTATCAATTAATAGACAATTTATTATATTAACTAATGTCTATAAAGTATTCAATCATATACATAATTTATCTTGATTTATTTTATTTTTGATATACTATAGCGCAATGTAAATACATGGGTAGATTAAATATAATTAATCTGAGTAATGCTATGCTATTCCATATAATTAAAACATCTAAGGCTCTAAGCTTTCTACCCTGGAATTTTTATATTGTATTTTATTATCTTTTGTATTCCTGAATAATATTTTAAAACCATATTTTTTGCATAACTTGGGAGATCAACAATGCATAAAAAAAATAATACTTAACTATTGCTTTCATTACTCTTTCTGTTAACTTCTGAAAGTTCTCTACCTGAAGTTTTGTTATGAGAATCAGAATCATCAAATACAGGTAATCTATTGTTATAAAGGTTATTTGCTTGTTTGGTTTTATTTCTATTATTAAAGACTTGATAAGATTTATAATATACTGATTAGAAGACTTGTAATTTAGTAAATGATTTTTATCTTCTGATGAAGCAGAGTGATGCGATTTTTTTTTTCTTTCCCTTCTGAGGATGATGAAGATATTGAAGCAGAACAATGCGATATATTTTTTTTCTTTCTTTTCCAAGGTTTACCAGAGTGTTTAGACTTATATAATTTATCTTTAGTGGATGAATCTAGTATTATAAAATAAAATATATAGTGTGATGGATGGTATCGTTTTAGAGTAGTTAAAGAAAAAAAATTCATAATGAAAAAGAGTCTTATTTATATTTTTTAAAATAAATTAAACTCGTTGATTAAGAGTTTTTGTATTACCTAAATAAAGCTTATTTTATTCACCGATTAGGAATTGATTATTAATATTAATAATACACATGTTTACAATTATTATATGTGATTTATAATTGATTCATTCTTAGATACTCCTCAAGTTTTCCTTAATAATAAGGAGTTGAAATGGTGTTAACTCTCTATTCCTACCTTGAAGAAGCACAAGCCGAAGGCTCAAAATACTCCAAAGAAGAAGTCTGGAAATTCTGGACACATTTCGAATTGTAATAAGCCTAAGAAGAAGGATAAGAAGTCCTCGACCAAGACTACTAAAAATGATAACCAGTTGAAGAACCCAAATTCTCAGAAGAAGGCAAAGAAATCCTCAAAGAGTAAGGGGCGTAATAGCATTAACAATGAGATTTTAGCAGAAGTTTTGGACCTATTACGTAAATTAAATTAGCTTAAATTCCTATCTAGTTATAGTTATTTTTCTAATTAGAATATAGTGCATTTTTAGCAGCAGAATTTTTTTTTACTTTTTATTCTACTCTATAAGCCCTTGGCTTTAGAGGGGGCTTGCCCTGTTTCTTCCTTTTTTTACCCAGTTTATATGGGTTTGTCTAGGCGATGAAGTTTCATCTAGGTCAAGCCTTTCTCTTTATCAAAGGGTGAGGTCTGGTGGTATGGTTAAATTCCTATTCTAGACACGGTTTTTAGTTGAAATGTATTTCGATATATTGATAACTATTATTTGTACTAGTTAGGGGTTACTACTCTTGGCGGAATAAAATAAATAAATTTATAATTGATTCATGTTTATGAGCTACTTATTGATTCTTTTTAATAATTTACTTTAGCAAAATGCCAAGATCATTGAGAAAATATACAAATAAAAAATGTTCATATGTCAAACCCAGAGAAAAGGTTTGATGTACATGCTTGTTGCACTGTGGTGGTAATAAATTGGTTGCAAAGAGGAATCATCAGGAATAAGAAAAGCGTCTTTAAACTCGTACTTCCAAATCTCGTGAATCTAAATTAACTTTGCAATCGATGGACTATATAAATAAACAAGAATCATCAAAATCAGATAAAAAATACAGGAAGAATGTTGGAAAAAATCTATACTCTACAAGTGATTCTTCTGATAGTTCATCCGGTAATAAGCAAATTCACTCTGATTCAGAACCCATTGTTATTCCAAATAATTGAAAAAGGCATGATCATTTTCATGAAACAGATGGGGTTCTGGGACAGCAGCTATCACATAGGTCTAACCATAATTTAGGGTATCCCCAGACCACCTCGCCTTGTTTTCTGATATGATATCATTATACCTGTTTTTCTACATATATTCCCAGGCATTATTACTATGCATGAATCCTTTCCAGATATCATAATTTTATGCTATATCAGATTACCTTTATAAGTGCCAAAGGTATGAAGGACACAAAGTGTTTGTAATACCAATGGCATGATTCAGCAATCAATTGTGGCATACTATTTTTATGATACTCTAAAAGTTAAGCCATTCTTGCTCTAACCAAAAATTTTTAACAGGAAGGCAACTAGATATGTTTTAAAGCTTTTCTTGCTATACAGTCAAACCTTTATATAATGATATGTCGGGACATATATGAAATTTTTAGAAAATATCATTATATCAAAGTTATACCAATATTTATATGTCCTCACATATAGTGGAAAATAAAATTTTATCAGTATATCAAGTTTTTAATAGTATATCAGTATATCAAATATCGGTATATCGAGGTTAGACTGTACAAAAAAATCTGGGACAACAGGTCTAACCAAAAGTCTAACCAAAAATCTGACCCAGGTCTAACCAAAAAATGTATAGCAGGTAGTCAACTAGATATGATTTTGTTCTGGCTTCACACAAGGATGACCACAAGGTGGGAAACATTTTAGAATTTATTAATTAAAGAAAAAAATTTTTAGGTTATTAGTACAATGTATCTAGTATGGTAACAAGTAATCGAGTTTGTGATAGATGTGGAAAAGCTTTTGCAACTCCACAAAAGTTTCGTGGGCATCAAAATAGAAAGTTTCAATGCAAGCCAGCAGTTAAATCTCAGGATCCCACACTGTATTAAAGATGTGAGCATCTAAAGATCTAGATACTATAATTTTAGTTCTAGACCCAATATGGTCTTCATCTTTTGAATTTGTGAAATAAGATATGTAGTTGCTCGTGATGTTTTTATATATGAATTTAGCTTCTGAATTCTTTAGTGAAGTTTCGGAAATGCCTAATATGTTAGTTAAACTCCTAACTTACCTTAGTAGGACCTGGTGATTAAAATCATTATACTCTACGAAAAAGAAGTACTCCACAAAAAGATAATGAATGGTTTGCTGATATGCAAGGAGATTATAAAGGAAGATGTGTGATATTCAATTTGTAAAAAGAGATTATGATCCTGCACGCCCACATACATCTCTAAAACATAAGATAACATAAGATAGTATGGCAAGCTGATCTTAAACCAAATGTTAGAGATATACCATATTTTCCAAGTATAATAGCTGATACCCGTCAGAAAATAACAGAAATTCTTAAGAGTGAACTTGAAGAAAAGGGGCAAATCAAATCAGCCATCACTATATTGGCTACATATACAGAGAATATTGGAACATATAAGCAAGTTTATCATAGAGGAGTTATGTGTGTACTTCTTTTAAAGAATGATATAGATGGTCATTTAACAAAGACAGCAGTGGAAATCGAAGATAAAATTGTCAAATTTATGAAAGAAGGGTCTGGTTGGAAAATTGTTAGTATAGATGTATTAACTATTGAGATGTATAAACTGGATGCACGAAAATCAGGTGGACATTATGGCCTTAAACGAAACCAACTTAGACCAAAAAAATGGTTTCTTCAAAATACCCGACAGTTTTAAAGACCAATTCCATATATATTGGTCAAGTAGACAGTATGACAAATATAAGGGATCGGGAATGGTGTTAATATGTTCATGGAAATGGAATAAACATTATCAAGGACACAAAACTCATTCACCATATTTACTCTCAGCATACTTTTTATTTAGAAATATAATGTTTAGTATCTTGACCATTTACACGGTACCACAAGATAAGACAATTCTTTATGACGCCTTGGAGAAACTCAAAAAAGAAATGGGTGATGAAACTACGTGGAAAAAGTCAAACAATATAATACATATATTAATGGGAGACTTTAATTTAATCTCAAACGGCCAAATCGATCGCACTCCTCCACAACATATCTCCAAACCCAAATTTTTTAATGATCTTGAAACACTGGGACTTATAGACTCATATAGGAAGCTCAATAAAAAAATACTAGGGAACACTTATCACAAAAAAGGAGTTAGCACAAGATTAGATCAAATCTGGGTATCTGAAACCCACAGTAATAATGTATTAAATTTCTCAATTACTCCCTTGACGTATATCACATATAGTGACCATGACATATGGATTGCTATGTATGTATGTATGGTAGACAATGTATGGTGTATGGTGATTAATGTATGGTATACAGTATACTTTTTCATACGTACATACACTATTCAGTATAATTATAATTCAAAAAAAAATGTATGTACGTATGAAAAATAAAATTTCACGTGATCATACATTATTTTTAACCAATAAGAAAATTTTGCAATCTGATAAAATTAAACGTAATTTATATTTTCTTTATTTTGAAACAAAAACTAAATATAATATTTTTTTAACATTTGTTTCGATTCTCTAATTCTAATGCCTTAGCTTTAGCTTCCATCATTCGTGCTTCAGCTTCTTCTATTCGTGCTTTAACTTCACGCTCCTTTAATAATATTTCCTTTTCTTTAAGTTCCAGCTCAAGATTTTTTTTACAAATCTCTTTAAGTAATTCCTCATTGTCTGATAAAATATCTTCTCTTTCATGATTTTTCTTTGATTTAACGGACGTTCTACTACTAGAAGGTGATAAATTTCTTTTCTTTGATGATTTGGGCAATTTATTATCAAGAGATTCTTTATTTTTTTGAGTACGAGATGCTACATATTATAAGAAAATTTAAATTTTATAAACAAATAAATTAATGAGTAAATATATATTTTTACTTACTTTTACGCGCAATTGAATTTTATACTCTTTTAACATCACTTTTATCTCTATGAGTGTAAGGTACTCCTTTTTTATCATGAGTTTCAATTGTTGTATAACATCTTATATTGTACCTTTTCCCCCTTTAAGTTAATTTATAATAATTAGTATGTAATAAGTACTAATGTAATCTGTAATTAAAAAAAAAAATAACTAACTTTAAAATGGCTGATAATAACTTCAACTGTTTTCCTTCTCTGTTAACCATAGAATGAGCTGTTTCTGCGTTATTAGTATCTGATCCGCTTTTATTCCAAATCTCATGATCAACATTTGAAACATATTTGTTTAAAGAAGCTAAAACATATGGTTGTTGATAATAACTCAGCCATTCTAATATAAAAAACAATATTTTAAAATTATTATTAAAGTTTTAAAATTTCCAAAATAAATGAATAATATATCTTTAATTCCTTCATCATTAGTATCTTCTATTTGTTTTAAAAGATCATAAACTTGTTCTTTACTGGTAGCATTAGGAATTTGTCGTATTAAATTTTTTGTACTTGTAGAAAATTTTTTATGAAATAAATTTCTGAAAAAAAAAAAAAAATTAATTAAAATTAAAAATAATGTAAAAAAATAACCATTTATATTTAAATACCTTTCAAAGTGTATAAGACATGATTTTAAAATATATGTTAAGTGAATTTTCCAACTTTTTTCACTATCCAAATCATGCAATACCAAACCCAGACCTTTTGCCTGAGCAGCATCTAGATCTGCTAAAATGCAACCAATTCCTTGTCCGTGAATGTGCTTAAATTGCATATGCTGGCCGCTTACTTCATGAACTATTTGAAATAATGATGAGAACAGCCTATGATACCCTTCAGCAGTAAAAACATTAGTAAACACACGGCAAAATGATAATACTTAAAATATATTATAGTTAGTAACATCATTAATAAATATTGTTTATACAACATGATAAGATTTGAAAATTTTACTTACTTAAGTGGTGTTTAGAGTCATAAGTATTTATTTCAAACTCATTTATCTCTCCTTTTACTCGCTTAAAACTGACATCAATTTGAAAACAATCAAGTGTCATTGAGTATACAAGTGATAATTACTTGGCCATTATTTGAATAAAGATCTAAAAGAAAGTAGTTATCATTAATAAGTAATTTAAATAAAAGATGCAATAAAATTTAAAAATTTAGTACCAATTTTGCGAATATAATCAATTAAATCTGATTTGGGATTTAATATATTATGATAAATTTCCATAACTCCTTGTCCAAAAGGATGCAAGGTTTTATATGCCTTTCCTACTAAATGTCGTAACTTGTCTATATTGTTGAGAGAAACATGAACTTCTGCTAAAGTTTCTTTATTAAAATAAGCTCTAAGTAAGTTTCCTATTAGTTTAATATTTTAAAATTAATTAATTAAATAAATTATTATTAATTAAAAATTATAATTAATATTCTATACCTGATAATATTGATCTTGAAGTAATACTAAATTGCTTTTAATTCCAGAAGGAATTCTTTCAGGTGATGGTGAAGGATGGTTGTGTATTCCTATACATATAAGTGCTACAAAAGGACATTTATCAATATCATAGGGAATAAATTTAATGAAACGAACAGGACAAGGCTTATCAACTATTTTGCCACGACATTATGTGCATATTGCATATCTTAAACAAAAAAAAAATTAGTTATGATTTAAATAAATTTAAATAGTATAATTAATTCGTGATCTGTCTCAGAACCAGTGAAAGGTACTAATACATATCGGGGAACTATTATAGTAAATCAATTATTTCTTAAATAATTTTTTCGTGTAAATTTATCAAAATTTTTTTAAATAAAAATGTTTGAAATGTTTAAAAAATATAATAAAATTTTAATATAGTCTTTGTAACTGTTGTATCTATGGGCAAATTCAACATCTATGCATTTTTAAGGGTTAGGGGCTGGAATCTGACGTTGCTAAAGAAAAAATTTTTTAATTAATGGTGCTATGACAAAAATATTATTATATTTAAATTTTTGTAATTTTAAGCCATCATTTACATTACTTCTGGATTAAAACTCTTCAAATAATTTTAGCTCAATTCCAATTTCAAATTTAGTTATAATTTGTTATATTTGTAAATATGTGATTTCTCACCATCTAGTGATCCTATAAGGATGAATTATAGCTATTTGGAATCCTCTCATCATGATGAATTGAATGGTGGTAATTCTATATCTCTATAATCAATATATAACACAACAATTATGTGCAATTATTTAATATTAACATATTATTAACCAGTTATATATCGATGATAGAGATATGAAATTATTACCATTCAATTCTAGATGATGAGAGGATTCCAAAGAGCTATAATTCATCCCTATAGGATCACTAGATGGTGAGAAATCACACATTTACAAATATAACAAATTATAACTAAATTTGAAATTGGAATTGAGCTAAAATTATTTGAAGATTTTTAATCCAAAAGTAATGTAAATGATGGCTTAAAATTACAAAAATTTAAATATAACAATATTTTTGTCATAGCACAATTAATTAAAAAATTTTTTCTTTAGCAACGTCAGATTCCAACCCTAACCCTTAATAATGCATAGATGTTGAATTTGCCCAAAGATACAACAGTTACAAAGACTATATTAAAATTTTATTATATTTTTTAAACATTTCAAACATTTTTATTTAAAAAAATTTTGATAAATTTGCACGAAAAAATTATTTAAGAAATAATTAATCTCTATAATAGTTCCCCGATATATATTAGTACCTTTCACTGGTTCTGAGGCGGATCACGAATTAACTTTAAATAATTACCACATTTTTTGCGTTTACAGCTTTTAGAAAGTATCATACTACACTTTATTGTATCCAGCATAGCGGACATCCCTATTTTATCACTGATCATTTGTCGATCATTTGCTGATCATTTATTCAATTATCACATAATATAATACTGTTGCTAAAAAAATTTACATAAAAATATATGCTCAAATTTCACAAATAACTTAAATTTAGTTCTAATTTATTGTATATTAAATTTCATTAGAAACTTTTTAGCTTTTATTATTATTTGGCATATATTCATTCATTTTACGAAATTATTCACTAAATATGTTACTAATAAAACACCTGCATTATGAATCAGATCACTGCATTATTTTTTTTATAGATTCTACATAATATAAAGAATATTTGTGCAAAGTTTTGAATTTCGCATATGCATATTCATCTCCGCCCATCAAATTTTGTCTGATGATCGGCAAAAAATTATGAATGATCACATATGAATAATGTGTTATAAAAATATTAAAAAATTATGCCAATAATTATATAATTAAAATTATATAATAATTCAATGCTTAGCTTATATTTCCATAATTTTTTTGCCACATTATTTTGAAAATATATGTTGCTTTTGCAATAAATTTTAAAATTGGAATTATGTGATCGGCAAATAATCGGCAAGGTGATATAAGTATGTCCGCCATGCTATTGTATCCTGTATTTAAATAATTATTAATTTTTATTTAAAAATGAAAACCAATTTGATATAAAAATAATAATGAGAAATAAAAAATACTTACAGATGCTGTACCTGTAAAAAGACTTTGAAGTAATGAAACATCAATTTCATCTTGTTTTATTTTAATATATCGATGCCACTTATCTCCTTGTTTATATTTATTGCAACCAATAAAATATGATACAATATTTGTTTGATAATTGGTTACTCTTTTAAGACGAGGTTTTCCATCACAAGAAATATTA